ACTCATTTCATAATAGAAAAAGTGAGAAAGAATATTTGTTTTTTTTTATTCAAGTTCAACAATGATTGATGACATTATATTACAGCAATTCGAAATTGAATAACAAGGTTAAATTAATATCAAAGAACATCAAGTAAAACAAAATTATTTGATAAATATTGAACTCTTCGATTCATAATAAATGTAAACTTTCTATTGAAAATTGGTAGATTAATGTTATCGATAAGGTACATCCATAATCCCCATCAATAGATGCAAGAAAAAAAAATGTTCTACCAGCTTATATGGGTATATTCTCATTCGAAATCAAAATAGCTATGAATACTATCCTAAATTGCTGTTGTCATCTATGCATTTCGTTTATGAAAATAAAAATCTATTAGCGTATTGAATGCGGAATTAAAATGCGAAGCACGATGATGAAAGATGATAATCATAAAACCTAATAGTCATTGGGAAAGACAGACAAAAGACAGCTATTTCATTTTATTTTAAATTTAATTCTGTTTCATACTAATCTTGCACGCATGTTTGTTATTGTCCATGAGAATGAAGCGACAATACTAAAGTATTTGCCACGTCTGTAGAAGGCGAGAAGAGCAGTGTTACATATAGATTTTCTTTTCGGAAGGAACAATTTAAAACTCCGGGAGAACCAACCCAGTTTTCGGAGTGGTGCGACTCCTTCGACCGCTACGCTGAATAAAAAATTGAGAGATGGACTACAATTTCATCCATATACTTCAAAACTTCTTGTAAATAGTGTTTTGCAAAAGGAGTAGATTAAGAAGAAATAAATTAAGTTACTTGCCGACGAAGTATGACAAGTAAGTGATTTTATATGTATAACATCAATCTCATTCTCTTTCATTTTTAGAGCGAATATTTATTATTGCTCACATTAAATTTTAGTTTCTTTATTATGAAAACAATCAAAAACACAGTTCTGATATTCTAATGATATTAAAAAGGAATGTAATTATTGATAAAAACACGTGTAAGACAGCAATTGAACTAGTAGATGTTTCACTTCTCTGCAATAGTTAAAGAATTACATTTGGATGATCAGTTATAAAACCATCCACTTGTACTGTATGCCAAAAATATTTCACAAGTTCTTCAAAACTATTACTAGAAAATAGATCTTGTCGAAATGTAAATGGATAAACACTAAAATTATATTGATGAGCCCATTTTGTTAGATTAGTAGTACCAATGATTGCACCATTTGGATCATAATTAACAACTAATTGATGATTAGGTGCTAAACCTTGAATAATTTTTGATAGATTTCGTATACCTTCTTCACTTCGATAAAAATTATAATCACTTGATGATTCTTGAATGTAATTCCATGTCATTAAAGCAAGTAAACGCAATTGATTGCCAAGATTTTTACGAATATACATAAGTTCTTCAATATAAAATGTTTGAACAATAATTGGATCACTTGATTGTGTTAAATTATAAGCATTTAATGTAGCAAGTACAATAGATGATATTGATTTATTATATTTTGAATGATATTCAGGTTTTTATATTTCAATAAGTAATTGACGTTGTCGACCTGTTGCACGATTAAGACCAAATAATAATTCAATTGTTTCATTAAGTGTTGAAAGATAAAAACGTACTTTAGATTTTGAAGGAAAACGCAATGGACAAACTTGTGTACCATTCAATGGTTGAACTCGTTCACGAATATTTTAACGACGCAATTCATAAAGATCAAAATCAATAACATAATTAAGAACATCTGAACGATTTCGATTGGGAAAAATACCACTAACATTAGTTACTCCATCTAGATAGATATCTAGGAAAAAAACAAAAAAATTAAAAATAATAATTATATTAAAATGAACATTATAGTTATACCATGAATGACAATTAATTGATTATCTCGACTAAGACATACATCAATTTCGATAATATCAGCACCATAAGCATGAGCCATCGATTGAGAAGCTAATGTAAGTTCAGGTAAATATGCTGTACCACGATGTGCAATAACAATTGGACGTTGTAAACATTGACAAATTTCAAATATATAGAGAAATAATAGGAAGTTTAACATGATTAATATGTAACATACTATGAAGTGTTGTATTGAATATATTGTCGTATTTATGTATAGAAATACATATCTTGATACTATTTATGATCAAATAGTGAAGAACAAATATTTACAGTATATATTAAAAACTTCTCGAAAACAATATAGCTTTTTCTTTTCTACAGATTATCTTTTTGTCATAATAACAAAACGATATCAACAGATTTACATAAAATCGTTAAAAACATCTTTCAACTAATTTTTATTTATCTTTCTTTTTCTTTTTCTTTAGAACTATGATTACAATTAATAGATTTGTAATAACAAAACACTACGAAAATGACTAAGATTTTATAGGTGTATTACATTGTTGATTCTTCACACCTATGTATGTATCCAATTACTTTATTAACATGATCATAAATAGTACATCGACTTTAAATTGATCTATAAAATATTCAAGTACAGCATAAAATAAAGCAAATAATTGTAGATTAATATCTTTATGATATATATATATTATTTTTTTTCGAGTATGTAGGTATCTATTTTCTATTTCTTTGTTCATAGTTTCTTAGACTAACGGGTTGTACACAATTTATGAGCCATAAAAAATGGAACACTTTCATTTCTTTTTTTTCTTGAGCAACACAGACAGAATTGTGAGACTTCGCTTTTTATACCATTCGATAAAGAATTTTTCATTCTACAAAACTATCTTTGTTGTTTTTCAAATCAGCTCTTCGTCATCGAAAAATTCAAACAATTGAAAACTACTCAATCATACAACTGCAATGGACAAAAACATGATAGAATTTCTCAAATAGCAGTTCTGCCAATATTTCAAATATGTACACTATAAGGTGCTCTACAATATGTCTGTAGAAAATAGAAAATCGCCATTGGATGACTGAATAGATATTAATTTTTTTTTGCATTTTTATCCGACAAAAAAACACTTACTTAAAAAACACAATATGCAGTTTTATAGAGCAGTAAATTTTCTTTCGAACGGCATAAAAAGAAAGCCTTTCAATTATGTCTGCGCTGCTTACTTCGATCTTGACTATCGATTAATAAAAATTGAATTCATTGTATATTTTTCAATGTCAAAACATAGTAAAAAATACGTAATCAGAATAGCTTTTCTTACTAAATTATGATAAGACATCAAGAACAATTTTTTTAATGAAATGTATCAACTTTAATTTCGACATGAAGAACTATTAATACATAGGTCAAAAGTTTAGAGGTAAAATGTTCGTTTATTTGTGGTTTTCTTGAAGGTGTTTTCAATGAGTCCAGAGCTATGGTTTAGGAGCAGAATTTTGTCTAAGCTTTTTTTTGAGACTTGTGAGGCACTTCTCTGAAACCCAAAAACACTAATTTGAACCGAAAGTGTGGGCCGAAGTTCTTGATGCAAATACATGCTCATTTTGGCCTGCTTGAAAGTGCCTCAGACAAGCCAAAAACTAATGGGTGATGATAAGAACTTTGTGTTCTATTGGAATATGAGACTAGAAATATTCTGTCTAAGAGTAATAAAGAAATTTTTGAAAGATCTTAAAAAAACACACTGAATGATAACCTATAAGTTCCTTTTCGAGAGTGCTAAAAGTTATTGGTGTCGATCATATTATAATCATCATCTATCTAACTTATTCAACGAGTCGTATATTATATTATTTTCAGATGTTTTATGTAATTGATGAACAATAATCAATTTTTATCATTCTATTTGATGTTGTAATCAAGTTGATAAAAACTTTTTTTCGTAATATGTATTTGAGAAAAATTTTCAATAAGTTGTTTGAATGGATTGATTATACGTTAGTAACCAGTGCTACTCGGCCAACTGTTACTGGAATCAATAATTGGTTCACACTATTCTGTAGACTTGTATCTACAATCATTGCTACTTTTGATGTGCTCCAAATAAATTAAGAATGTACATTATACAAGTATCATTAAGACATTACTTCATCTCATTGATTTAGGCTTTTATCTGCTAAAGAATATTTTTTGTTTGTTTTCTATCTTTTTTCTGAACAGTAAAAAAGAGAGATATGAGTGTTATCTCAGAGTATGGTTATTTTCGTAATCAGATAAAATTAATGACTTATAATAATAGCAATTGCATGTATCTTATCAATGGTTATATATTCGTTTTTTTTTTCTAGTAAATCAACAATCAACATTCTTCTAACAAAAGAAAATATTTTTAAAATTGTTCAGTATAATTTAACAGGAAAATCGATTATTAACTTCATTGATTCTTTGTAACCAAAACAAAGAAACTAGAAGAGAAGTATTTTCCTTTTATTTTAAAAATGTCTATTATCTAGGGTCACATATATATGCACGAATGATCAAATCAACGCCGACTAGAAATACATTAACGCACTTAAAATGAAACTTATTTTCAATAGCTAATATTAGAAGCATGTGAAGTACATCAGTGATGTCGATTGTTTATGATATTAAATTCTTTTGATCAACTAAAGTTAAGAAGTTGGCTTTTAGCGACATCTTATGTTTCCATTAGTCTTAAGAAAAATTTGTTGTAATTTTGTTAAAACGTCCTTATAGTCTAATGTCATTCTTTGCATGAAACTCATTTTTCCTAAAAAAAATATATTATATAGACGAATATACCTTCTGACTCTCAATGCATTTCTATCACAATTTCTTTCTTTATCTAATGTTTTCATAAAATTGAGATGTCGTTCCACTGAGTGCATTCGATATAGTGATTCGCATTTCTTACCACACTTTATATCATCCAATCACATGCTATATTTCTTTTATTGTTTGGCATCATTATTAATATATCTACGTCGTTATTATTTCGATATTTAAGTCATATGATAAATTTGTTTCTCTTTTTCTGAAATTAGATAAAAATAACACACTTGATATTTATTAAATTTTTCTTCACATCATGTTAAAACTTTTTATATTCACAATTTTCTTATTTTCATCACCAATATTTGGTTTATTAGAAACTTTATTTCAAGCACAAAATAATTGCTATTCAAGATGTCATTCAAATTATGATACTAGCTTATCTAATTTGGATGCTTGCAAAAAAGGTTTGCTTATTTAATAAATAAATAAAAAATGATAGACGCAAAAGACAAAAAAAAACATCGTTTTTTTTTTAAGGTTGTGATTATAAGTTACATAATGAAGATTGTACTGTTCGTTGTAAATTACTGCGAACAGATGAACAAATTCAAGCTAGTTGTCTTGCTGGTTGTTCATCAAATCATTCACCGGTAAAAAAAAACAAATGAAAAGTTTAATATATGAAATTGATAATTGAAAATTTTATTCTAGGAAATAAAAGAATCAATTGAAAATGAACGTCCACGATCGATAATTCTTATTCGTCTTCGTCAACGTCCATTATCTGAACATTCACCATTTAACATTGATCGCATACGGATGTTTATTAATAAGATAAGAAAATTCAACGAAAATAGAAATATAATTAAACAATCAAATGAAATTCAAACTGATTCATTAAATGACGAAAATACATATAAAATTACACGTTTTATTATTCATCAAAAAGATAATATTGAATCAAGAAATAATCGTTTTAAACAATTTCTTAATGATATTCATAGTGAGTGGAATGATCTTATTCATAAACAACCAAAAATTTCTATATGGATTTGTTTTGTTTTTTTACTTTTGTCATCAATTATTCTTTGGCGTAAGTCTTTTTATTTATTCTTTGAAATATCTGCATTAATATTTGCTTTGATTCATATAGATATGATTGTATCACTTTGTCATCATACACCTAGACATCATACTTTATCAACTCATGCACAAGAACTTGCTGTTGATAATATATATGAAAAAGAAAAACTCTAATCAAATGAACAATAATATCAATATACAAAATCATTATCAATTAAAATTAAATTGACGAATATTTAAAAGAGAAGATACTTTTCTAATCTATGACATGAAAGTTTCGACAGAAAATATTTACTCATTTTTCGACTATTTAAAGATAACTGATTAGAGTTAGAATCAGATTTTTTCGCTGCTCCTGGATATGTCTTCTTTCCATAGAAACTAGTTCTTTAGTGGAAATGTGTGGATTTCACTAATTGTAATATTTCATGGTTTACAGAATTGAGTAACGTTAAGTTGAAGTTGTTCCAAGACATAAACTAAGGACGATGTTAAAACTGCTATTTTGTTTCTTGGACTTTTTCACAAAATTTACTGATAGTTATTCAATTTAACTCGAGAAGAAAAATCTGAACATATATTCTAAAATAGTGCAAAAATTCTAATTCTAACTCTAATCCGTTATCTTTTAGTGGCCGCAAGATGAGCGAAAGTTTTATGTCAAAATGATTCGTGTCATAGATTATTTAATGTATATAGATATTTATTTAACATGTATTTCTTCATACAAAATCTAGCCTATCTCATGTAGCTAGATTCTAATGCGCCTTTTTTTTCTCTGTTTTGCTTGAGTTAATGTAAACTTTGTATGCATTATTGGTTATATTGTTTCATCTCTCTTATTATTCTCATAATAAAAATTTGTAAAGCAAAGAACTTTCGTTGAAATGATTGTTAATATTTGAACTAGATGAATTGTTTAATTAAAAGAGATAGAAGTTTTCATTTGATGATATTTTATATTTTAAGATGAATTGTTGAGCAATGAATAATAGTTAAAACGAAAATTTTTGTAGAATAGTCAATGCTTATAGTGAGAAATGTAACTACAGCAATGTATCGGTCATTTTTATATGGATTCACTTTCAATCGTTGCCGTGAAAATGATTGAACTGAGTAAACATATGAGAAAGCTACATTTTGACGGCTTTTTTTGAAATTAATCAGACATATACTAAAAGAACTGAATGATACCAATGAATCGGTCTTCACTATGAGTGTACAATTCTGGTTCCGACTATGAATTCAGTTCCACATTTATGTTTTTTTTGTTCTGGTCCTATTCTTCAATGTTTTGATCTCGTTTACAAGTCATGGCAAATATCACGTTGTATTAGACACTCTAACTTATCCAACAAGTAGTACAAAAATTAATTTAAACCATTTTATGAAGTTGCTGTTCGGCAGTGCCCGATTGACTAGAAGTACGCTTCTACAGCAACCGAAGACAAACGAGCACTACAATGGTCTCTCATAATTCCTTAACAACGGAAAAAGATGCTGAATGGCATTAACAACACGATTTAGACAATTCTAGAACATTTGAAAGTCTTCCTTGAAATTGAAATAGCTGAAATATGTTTTTCAGTGCTCTAAATAACATATTTACTGATTTTTTCGCAGATAAAAATTTATATGATAGATATCAAAGATGATGAGTAGCCCTATTTTGATTTGCCACAGTTGTCATATGACCAACACCAAAGGTTAAGACCTTCTGTCAATATATACGAATGTGTACAACAGACTTATTTGTTAGTTAAATCAATGAGCTAGCATAAGATAAATAAAAAGTAGAGCACAAGTTAAAACTAAAAGAAAAAAACAATTCTGTTCGAAATGCAGAAATAAATAATACATATCGTTTGTCCGACGATATATTATTGTTGAAAAGAACCTATCATCTTTTAGAGATTTTCCACTAAACTTATATGGAACTGGCAAAAAAAGACATGTGAGTTCTACGTTTTAATTTCAGAAGAACTGCACTAATAAACTATTGTTAGGTATTCTTTATCAATATACTTATCATCGAACCATTTTATAAGATAAAAAAAAAAAAAAATGTTTTTGATAACATTATTCTTTGTGATGTATGTTTCAAAGTCGTCTAACAACATTTTCTATTTTTTTTTTGAATTATTTTATTATTCAATTGTATTTATCACAGATTCTAATACTTGATATTAATAGTTCTAATAAATTTTCTATTGGTTCATTATTGTCGATTTATGACAGCAGATAATTATGTTCATGTAATAAGATTGTAAAAAAAGAAGAAAATTAATAAATCACAAAAATAAATGTCAAATATCAAAAATAGTAGAAATGTATTGATAAAAATCAAGTTTTTGCTTCATTGTCAACTACAAATAAAAATGAAAATCAAGAAATATATTTGTCAATTTACATTTACATAAGCAAAATGAATAGATCATGCATTTTCAAATATTTTTGATTTATGGAATAGTTTATAAAAAATAGTATGAGCAAGCAATTATGAACAATATACTTACACAAGAGGTTTTGTTTTTGCTTTTCTAAGTTTTTGATTCTTCCATTCGAAAAGTGTTTGATATATTCATTGCTAAAAGAAAAACAAAAATAAAAATAAAAATATTCTTATTGATTTGAAAACCCTATATAATAGATTTACATTCTATAGTAGCTTCGGCTTCACGACGATCTCGAACAATAAAAAGAGCCGCTACTAGAAAAACAATACCACCGAAAGAAGCAACAGCTGGTGTTAATAATAAAGCATATCGTAAGGATTTCCATATAATTTCGTTTTGTTTTGATCCTTTTCGAAAGAAATCACTTACGAGACCGATGATATATGGACTAGATGCATCACCCTATCATATAAAACAAAATTAATCTATAATAAACTTTGTTTTTTTTTTTTATATTTGAAAACACACAAATAAATGTAAAATAAATATTTGAATAGAACTTGCTGTAGCACGTCTGGGTGGAATGATAATATACTACAAAAAAATAAAAAAGAATCAATTATAAATGAAAATGAAAATCTTTTAAGATTTAACCATAAGCATATCTGATATTATTGCCCAATTACTAGAAAGTAATGTTTCAGTCACAGCAATGCAAATCCATGTTACAATTATATTATCTTTAGAAAAGATAATTGAAGCAGCTAGAAATGGTATGGCTAAAAGAACAGCAACCCCACAAACAATCGGATCACCACGTGGATTTCTTTTACGATACCTAAAATATAAAAATTTTTCTATGTTTATATACTTTAATAAATAAATATTATATTATGAAATTAACATTCAATTTTCATTTAAATAGAAATATTGTAATTTATAAACGAAATTTTTTCTAAAAAGGTTTTAATTCTAACATCAAATGAATTCAAAATTAGAATAAAAAATCTAACGAAGGAAGTTTTCTTATTGATAAGTCGCTTTTAAGTCGAAATTACGTGCATGATGTAGAATTAAATGACTTATGAATACCCTGAAAACAGTTCAGACCCTTAGTTTATTATTACTGAGATACGGCATTCTCACGGTAGTCTTTAAATGAATGCCATAGTCCTCTTCAGAAACACCAGTAAAACTGATTTTAGTGTAAGTACTAAACAGTGAGTCACCAACATAGTGTCCACTGATTACACTGGCTTTCGTGTTTACTGTAACTTTGAGATAGCAACTCTATCAAAGTATATCCTTGTTGTAGCAATGTGTTTCAGTGCCCACTGTACATCCCCATTCGATGCTCTTATTTCAGAAACGAAGCCAATCTAAAGAGCTTGCAATAGACTATTCTCATTAAGACCTATCTTTATACAAAATTTCAAGTCGAAATTCAAGAGTTAGCTTTCTTGGTGTTCCTAAGGAGGGCTAAGACATTCATTTAAAAGCTATCATAAATTTGCTGTGTATACGTAGCAATAAGCTAAAAGTCAGAACTCTCTGTAGAATATTTACAAATTATTTGTGTCTACATGATGTACATAGTTCCGACTCAAAAGCGATTAAGCACTTGAGAAACTTCCTTCGTAAGATATAGATTCTTTTAAAATTTAACGTTTAGTTCTCCGTACGCAATTTAAAACAGTGTTTGCCAGCATCGACATGTTAAATGTCAAGAAAACTAATAAAATTCTTCATAGGTATCATTTTAAAATCACAATTAAACATACCATCTAGCTATTTCACTTCCAAGTAGAACACCAAGAAGTCCAGCACCACAAGTTACTATACCAAAATAAAGACTAACACTGATAAAATAAAAGCATAAATAACATTTTATTATTATGAATTTTATGTTACTTGGCTTTAACTTGTTCACTTTCAGTTTTATAATGCAAAATATAAGCTAATTGAAGAAATCTTGGTGCCCACCAAGCAAGTGAACCTAATGCAAATGCTACCCATGTAAATCCAAGGGTTGTTAAAATAAAACTTTTTCTAAATAACAAAAAAAAAAGAAATTTAGATAATTTACTAATCAAACTAATTTTCAACAAACACTCTAAAAATTTTTCGAACATCAGAAAACCAATTATCTCTTTTTAAAACTTGAGCTCCATCAATACTGCCTCGTACTGGTTCTCTAACAAGAACAAGAAGTAATATAACACAAATGAAACCAAGAGCAGGTGTAATCTACATATACATAACCACATAACAATCAACACAAAACAAAATAATAATAATAATAATAAATAAATCTTTACTCGTAGAGCCCAACGCCACTCGCCATGAAATGCAACTGCAACATATGCACCAACAATATAACCAAGACCACTATATTAATTTTTTTGTTAAATAGATTTTCAAATGAAAACAATAATTTTGTTTTTTTTTACCCTCCTACTGGTGTAGCAATATTGAAAAGAGCTAACATTCTTGTTCTCATATCATGTTTATACATATCAGCAATAATTGTTGGTGCAACACATGAATATGAAGCTTCACCAATACCGACTAAACCACGTAATATTGCAAAAACTGCAAACAACTAATAACGAACAATATATGTTAATGAAAAAAATTTATATATATATATACATATATGACGGGTGTATCATAATGAAGGGCTAGTCTTTGCATTCCCTTTCTCTGACTTTCTGAAATGTTTTATTCAAAAATAAAATGTATAACACAATAGACTAGAGCGCGAACTCTACGTTTTAA